CCCAAAAAATGAGCTCTATGCAGCTTCTGCTGTCTGCTTTCATATTTTTACCTCCTTAAAATCTTTTTCATTTGCTGGCCTGCTATGTGGATGCAAATATGGCTCAATCCTCCAATTGAAATATTCTATTCTATTGTATGTCTTTGGAAACCCAAAGTGTGATTTCACTGCAGTTTCAGGCTAAGCTCCTGTCTTATTTTCAGCCCAGGTCTTGTCCTTGCAACAAGAAATCCCCATGACAAGGTCTGGTAAACTCGAGCTTGTTTAGGCTGAGAGCACCTTCTAAGGCAGCTTCTGCTGTAACTGAGGTTTAAGTTTCTAGGAAGTACTGCTACTGTGAACACAAGTAACCTGAGAAAATTCCAAAGCTTTTGAATGTGGTTGTTAACTGTCTCCATTCTGTGACAGAAACCCAAGAGAGTGTAAGGCAAGTAGGGTTTTGCCTGCACCCTTAGTGAATCACTGACAATGTATTAACCAAAGTTGGTATATCCGTGTGTTGGATCAGTGGCTGTTAATATGCTTATTTCTGGCAATGCAGTTCCTTGAAATAAACCTTAAAAGGAACATCATGTTTCAAAGAGGCAGCTTGTCCATAATACGGATTGTATTGGAAGTCCCAGTACAATAAAATGAACTGAAATAGTGCCTCTGAGAGACGAAATGCTGCCTCCCCTTCCAAGGAGAAAGTTAGAAGTAGACTTGAAATAAAAATGCAGATACTTAGAAACAAATGAAGCTTTTTATCTTGAAGGAAGCCTTCTGTTTGGTAGAGATAAAGATTTCATTGTTTTAATAATTTTGGATGCTTTTAAGTAATTAAATACTGATGTTGAGGTGAGCTCTGTTTAGCCACTATGCTTTTAAGTTACAGCATGTGTATAGAAGTTCATAGTCGTTCATTTTGCTGTGCTTGGCTTTGTGTACCAGTAGGCTGCAATTCTGCTCTCAAATGATGAATTACCCAAAGCCAGAAAGTAATAAAGGTCTTGAGCCTTATTTAAGAGTAATGGAGTCTGCATGGGGTGTTAAGGCTACAACTTACACTGAAGTGTAGTAAGACAGTCAGTAAAATTCTTGCAGGTAATTGAGTAGTTGGTGTAGTGTTACTCAGAGCCTAGAGAGGAGCTGAAGCAAGTGCTGCAGTCTTCCTGGAAATAGGTGAGATAACATTTGACCTGTTACAGTTTATTTGTAATAATATTTAGCTGTGGAAGGGACAAGACACTTGATGGGCTGTGAAATAATGTCACAATTGACACAAGTAAATAAGCTTTCCCAAAGGTTATTAAATTATTACCAAGTGTTCTCAAAGCTTTTAACATTTTCAAGGTATGCTCTAGATTACATGTTCTTGACTCTAAGCAGCGTTCCCTGGGGTTGGTGCACATGCGTATAAGGCTGCCTTTTCACTTGAAAAACTTGAAGTAATTTATGTATATTCTTACTGGCTATAGCTGTGAGCTGAAATCTTGGTGCCTCACTTTTTCCTTTGGCATTAGTGCTACTTTTGTAGCCAGTGCCTCGCTGTTAGTAGAAAAATAAACTTAGTTCTGATGCTGCCTTATCCCTTCTGGTACCAGGATCACCTGGGCTGTTGAAATCTGTACCATATTGCATTAATATGGCTATCCATCAGTAAATAGCATTGCTGCTATTGGCAGTCAACCTGTGCTGCTGCATTGTACTAATTAAATGAGGGATACTTGGGCTGGAGAATTTCCAGCACTGGCTCTTGGTGCTGAATTTCCTCCTGCAGATACCAAAGGATTATCTGCTGTGTGCAAGGGCCATCTAGTTTCAGCGGGCCTGTTCCAGGGACGTGTTTTTCCCTTACCTTCCTTCCTGCAGGTGCCAGCACTCCTGCGTTCTCCCTCTCCTTGGCCTGCAAGGAGATAGAAGCAGCAACCCGGTTACCAATCCGGGGAACGAGGGACCTGCTGTTTCTCAGAAGGGAGGCAGGATACCAGGCAAGTCCATTCTCTGAGCAGCTCCATCTTCTGGTACTATGGAGAAGTTACAGAGTTTTAATGGTTTGGTTTTGGAAAACCAGACAAAGTAACCCAGTTGTAATGGGTAGGTACTTAAAAAAGAGGAAAATGAGGTTTTTAATTTATAAGGGGATCTCGGCTATATAAGTAATATATTTTCATTTCTAAACTCAACAGTTGCAATCTTACTATTCTAAGCGACTGAGACATTTCTTCGGCCAGTCTACGAGCTGGCATTACTCAATGGAGTTTGGTTGGGGGGAGGGGGGCAGTTCTCTCAAATTTTTCAGAGCTGGCAAATGGTAGAAGGCGTCTGATTCAGCTGGAACATAGTATCCAGTGTTTTTCCAAGGTGTTAATACTTTTATTTTCTTCTTTAACAGATCTTCCAACTAATTGTTCTTCCCTGTAAGATGCCATGTGCTTGCAAATGTTAAATTTTGGGGTGTAAGCTTTCCCTCATTTACTAGATTAATAAACATTCTTTGTCCAGATGAGGTTTACAGCTTCCATTCTGTTTGCAAGACCTTGTCCTCACCCCTGTATCCTGAAATTTAGTTATGAATCACTGATAGTTTTATCAGCTTTGTAGTCTAGAAGAGTACAGGCATTACCTTCAACTTTTATGCAACATTTAGTTACACTTGACTTACAAGAGAATGGTAACTGATTAAAGACCCACCCAAAGTATTAAGGGTCTGATTTTAAAGGGTGAATAATATCCATATCTCCGCTGCAATGATATAACTTTGTTCTTTGCCGCTCTTATCTCTGCATTCCCTGCTTCCATTTTTTATCCGAAGGCCTTTAGCTACCACTTGGCTTAGCTAAAATGCTGACTTGATAAAAACCATATCTCTGCTGCAATGATATAACTTTGTTCTTTGCTGCTCTTATCTCTGCATTCCCTGTTCTGCTTCCATTTTTTATCCGAAGGCCTTTAGCTACCACTTGGCTTAGCTAAAATGCTGACTTGATAAAAACTGAAATGTGAACGTTAACACCAAAGTCTGCCCAAGCCTGTTACAATAAACGAGCGCTCTTTGGTGATGTCTTGTTTTGTGACAGATCTGCTAAAGCTGGTGAATGTCCCACTCCAGGTCTTGATCACCTATTCCCACTTTCAAGCCTGTATCTTGTTCTTTCGGCACAAGAAGCTTTATGGTGAATCGGCTCAGGATATAACTACCCACTACACGACAATAGGTAAAGGCTGTCTGGTTTTCACTGAATCGCTTCCTTGTTTGAGCTCTGTGTAGTGTGAGCTGGAAGAAGGAGCAACAATTCAGAGGTGATAGAGCAGGATTAGGTAAGAGAGGTTGCGTTAACACTTATGTTGCTGAAAAAAAGCTACTTGCGAAGGCCATTTACATGGGATCTTTAGTAATACAGGCTTCTAGAAGCTTAGGTATTAAAGGAGCAGTCCTTTTCTTAATTACTCTTTACTTGTGTGTTTATGGACAGTTGGTAACAAAATTCTCATGAGATTTTTCTTTTCCTGTCATCTTGTTCTGAGATCTGTGAGCCTGCATCTCTTTAGCTGTGTATGACCTCAGCAGCTAAACCTGCCTGTTGGCTTCACTAGTGCTGTTGCTTATCAGCATCAACTCATTAGATGCTCAGATACCACAGTAACAAAACCCAGTAGTCATTTTATTGGAAATTACATCAAAAAGGCTAAAAAGCAGATGCTTACAAGCTTCCACAAAGCACTACCCTTCACAGTATAGCAGGTACTATAGCAAGAGACAGGATCCACTGCCCTCAGCAATACACAAAAGTGACTGCCTATTTTTAGTAGTGTATAAAGTTTTGTGAATCCCATCTATAACCTACACTCTACTAGAATGCAGTGCAAGCATAGGCTACGCAGCTTTATCAAACTGCGCAGACTTGTTTTGCTGTGAAAAAAATAGAAAAAAAACCCCAACAGTGACAGACAATTGAAAATGGAATTTTATTAGGTGAAAGAGAGATCTAGTGAAATGTTTTTCAAATGCTGTTTCCTATGGCCTAATGATGCAGGGAAAGAAGCCTGATAAATGATCCCAACTCCTCCAACACCTTCAGTGAAGATACAGATAAAATACCTCTTCTCACATCCAAATTATCTCCTACAAAACAGGGAAGCTTAGACTATTTCTAGAAGGAAAAAATACAGGTAAAAACACTATTAAGAATTCGGGTCTTCGCTGTATGCAGTAGAAGAGCAACACAGAACTGCAATAAACACTGCAAGTCACTAGTGTTTGTAAAGATTTAGGCAGATAGCTAATGCACCACACCAGCTGTTCTGCATCTCCCTCTATCTGAAAACAGGTTATGTTGTTGAAAAGCTCCCTCCCGTCCTGAGTTGGCTACCATCAACTTTAGTATTTCTTTTACTGCCAGTGACTAAGGAATAGAACAAAGTAGATGCTACCTATATATGTAGCCCAATTTTACCAGGTGCTAAAGTTAGCCTCATTCAGTGAGCAAGCAGAATGCTTCCAAATCAATTATAGCCTTGAATTTAACATGCTTGATGGCTGACAGGTCTATTCACTGATAACATCTTTTCAGAAGGTAGTATGCACAAGTACATTGTTCTTGTCAGTAAAAAAACTGAGACACAGTAAGGGTCAGTGAAAAAACACAATTTAAAAAAAAAAAAGTCATAGAAGTAATTATAATGAGGTTGAATCAACTAAATCCATCTGTTTTCAGGTTCTGTGTTTGGTTCCGAATTAAGCAGGGTTCAGTTTGTACACTGTCTTATAAATCATATTAAATTCAGATATATTTTTTAACAAAATAATTCTTAAGCCTTTAAAAACACCAATAGAAAGGTATACGATAATCCAATTTTCAAAACCCCATCTTAAATGTTTTCCCTATTAGCATATAAAAAGTTGTCATGCAAATATTCTGAACTGTGTGATAATATTCAATAGAACCATTAAACACATGAACTTTTCAGCAACTGTTCCAACTCCTTTTAGTAGCATAAAAGCCAGGGTGTGTAAACTGCAGTTCCCCAGCAGTATATTCAAGTTCTTGTTTGAAAACCTCCAAAAGCACCACACAAGAGCTGATTTATTTCCACCTCAAGTCACATACTAGTGCTATATGATCAGAAGGATGTGAAACACTTGGCAAAGCCTGATGGGTTGTGACTTCTTCATGACTTGGCAATGGAATGACCTGTTCGACCTCTAGAGCATCTTTGTCAATAAAGATGTAGTCCAGACAGCCATGAAATCCACCAACATAGTTTGTATAAGCAGGTTCTCCACAAGCACTCTGCAGTTTGAAAGGATGGCTTAGAGACATATTGCACCTTTCTTCTTCACCATTTGAGACCCAGTCTTCATGATCTTCAGCAATGCCACCGCTGTTAATAAAACTGTAAGTTCCAGATGATGGCGTACTATTAAAATCTCCACAGAATATGATTGGTATACTAGGATACAAGTCACATGATATGTGCCTGATGTGAGACAAGGCTACAGCGATTTGAATGAGACGGATGTTCCCACCTAAGAACATAAAAACATATTCCTTTACATACTTCACAGTAGCATTTGAGGAATTTCCTCATTACTCATTTAAGCGTTATCATGTATAGCTCTGAAACAGCAATCTCATTTAAAATTTTCTGTGCCCTATGCTATAGAACAGTTTTCTTAAAGTAGCCTTTGAAATTTGTGACTACAGAAGTTTCAATGTCTTAATTTCAACTTGCACATGCACAAACTCTGAACCTTGAACATCCATATTAAAGTAGCTTTCCATTTCATGGCAACCATCCTAATACTGTTCCTGAAAGGCACAGAACCAAAAAGAAACCAATTTAAAAGAGGAGAATGTCTTTTAAAGCTTTTGTAGCCCAATCTGGTTGCCTTCCTGGCAGTACCCTAATACAGGTCCTTCAAGAGCAATAGGACTGGGAAGCCATGAGCACACACAAAGCATCTGTATTTTATAGTCTGCTCTTGGGGTGAATTGTGTGTAACATGACTTGCCTTGCTTTCAGCTCTATTTTACTGGCTCCCAGGCAGACTAGAACAATCTTGCTTTATGGAAAATAAACAAACAGACCTAGCAGCTTAGCTTGCTTCATCTAGATAAGAAGCAAGGCAGGAAACCCTCACTTCCAGAAGAAAATATAGTTACAAAAGAATGCGAGGAAATCTATTCTCCCCAGGAAAAAAAACCCAACCTTTGCAGACCTAATTATCGTACATGCAGGAACATGACAAAATTACCTTTTGGGTGCCAGTATAGGTGGGTATTAGCTACACAAATCTTCCTGGAAGGATCAGTAGTAGACTGAAGAACTGAAACCTTCAAGAGAAAAAGCAATCTTTGTTAAGTTTTAAATAGAGAGGTTATGTATTTTTTTTAAAACGTATTTGGTAAGCTTAGGCCTTTATGGCAATCCAGTTCAAAGAACCTGATGTTTGTAACTAATGAACAGTACAGATCCTAAGTGGAGTCTATTTATCCTCTGTACAACGTTTGGGTATCAGCCAATGTATTGCCACATATTGCCACTACATCCAGGTATTTGACAAATATTCCTTTGTCCTTAAGTGTCTGGTTTGGCCATATCTTTCCTTCAATCCATTCTGTATTTTTTCTTAAGACATTGCTAATTCCATACCATTCTTAACTACTTTTATTTTCTGTTCTCCCACCTCTGTAACAGAATTGGAGCTGTATCTCTGGTTTTAACAAGCAAACTGTGGCACTGTACAGTCGTTAAACTGAATGTAAACTTAGAGGTGATTTCAATTATCAAAGAAAGCTTGCTCTGTGTTCCAGACTTGTTAATCCCTCACCTTCCTTCTCCCTTCAGCCTAGCCTGGCTGCACTTGCCTGGAATCAGTGGGAGGCGGGAAGAGGAAGAACGCGTGTAAAAGCTGGTACCTGCAGCACAGATGACCTCTGCAGCACCTTCTCCTGCACCAAGGGGTACTTGGCGAGTTTATCACACAGCTCCTTGTGCAGCGGGTCTGAGAGCAGGGCTTCGCTGAAGGCTATGTCGTGCTGGCTAAGGCAGCTGAACTTGTCCCTGCGGTAAAACGTGGCTAGGCCTTCGTGCTGCTTCTCCTTAATCTTGAAGAGCCCTTCGAGTCCAAAAGCATCGAGGGCTGGAGCCAAGCTGTCCGCGAAAACGGACTTATCCACTTCCTGCAGGCAGATGAGGTCGGCGCTGTAGCCCGCCAGCTCCTTCTTGAGCAGGTTCTGCCGGTAGTCGAGCTCCAGGGCGTAGGGAGCGCAGTACGGGTAGAGCACGGTGCGGGAGAACTCCGTCTGGGCGTAGGTGTCGGCCAGGATGTTGTAGGAGACGGCGCGAACGGAGCCCTGGC